CAAGATGAAGAGCGGTTCTGAGCAACGGCTGCTCGAGGCCAACGTGAATACGAATAATCAGTTTCCGATGGAGGGTGTGATTGCTGGCTCGACAGAGAGCATAGAGAGCACTCACAGCGTTCACAGCGCTCCCGACCTGGATGACAGACTTAGTACATGCTCTGACAGCAGTAATCATAATTCGTGCAGCAAACAAACAATGAATATCGAGCAATTACATCAATTAGTGCGAATGCAGGAAGAGAGTAAGTGTTGTAAATTACTATCTATAAAATTAATTTCATATGAACATTTGAAAGATATCGTTGAAAAATCGCTAATTCTAAATTTGCACTTTCAGGTTTAAAGCAAGATTTATCGCCCAAATTGAACAGACAAGTTCTAGAGAACATGTGGGTCGCAGAGAAAAAGGATTTGCCTTCCCCAATTTTGAAAAACGGTGTTCAACACAACGAGATTGATGAACATTTACTAAATAATGATTTAAGTATGAAAAGCAGCTCTCCGATAATCAGTCCTACTGGGTCTAGTCACGCATTAAATGATGGTAATTAGATATTTTTCTAATTAAATTAAAATGAATAATTTAACTTGAAATAAATTAAGTAAATAAAAAATATATGTGTGCATCTTTAAGGAAATGCCGAAGGTAACATAGCAAAGACCAAGGATGAAATTGTAGTTGAAAAGACAGAAGTATGTATTACTTTGTGTAAACACTTACTGTGATATTACGAAATCAAAATTTAAATATTTAACAATAAGCTAATCAAACTTATTCATTACTTCTTCAAGTTTGCTACTTACTATTAGAAGAATTAGGAACAAATTATTACATATCGAATATATGAAAGAATTATATAATTCTATTGACTTGTAGGGTCCGAATCAAGTAGTGCCTAAAACTGAGAATAAGACTCGGTTGAGACAGCCGACCAATTGGAGCACCGGAAGCAAGCCAGCTGCTGTGATAAGCGGAATTCCTAGACCCGCCTCGCGTATACCGGCTCTCAGATTTGTTCGACCGAACGCGAAAACCACTCAAGCCGATTTGAGAAAAGGATGCACGTGAAATTCCGAATGATGAAAGCAAGCAAGGAAAAACAGGGACTTACAATATAAATATTTAGTTTAATCACTAATATGGCGATTAACGGGAATTTTCAGTTCTAATAGATAGTAACGATAAAGTTTCTCGAAGCTGATAAAAATTCAGTATTATTGAGCTTCCAAGTTGGATGATACAAGGGGATTATTATTAATATTTGCGTGTTATTTGTTTGTATTTAATTTGTAAAATTGGTAATAATATCGTCTCACGTTATTACTCCTATTTATATATATATAGGATATGCATTTTTTTTACAATTTGAAGCATAATTGTCTTGCTTTGATAAGGATTGAAAATATTTATACTTATACAAACTTGTAAAATATTTTAGGAGTTTGTCTCTATTGATTGATTACTAAATAATATATTAAAAAAACGCGATCTAGCTCGCGGATAAGATTTCGTTTAAGTCGTAAATTTTATCGTTGCCAAAACCAAGATTTCAAGATGTAGATTGTATTGGTGTTGTTTGTAATTTCTATATAATGTAAAAATTTAAATTTTCATTCGGTGTTTTATATGAAAAGCCGAAAAGAAAGGAGCTATTTTTTACATAATAGTCTATACAAACAATGAAAATAAATCTAAAATCTTTGTACATAAGAATAATATATATAGCGTTATAGAAAAATTGTTCAAATATTTTCTATTAAATAATAAATGACAGATCAGTCGACAAATTATAGAAAAGAATGCATATGAAAAGAAAAGACTGCAAGTGTAATTCACATTTTTGCGAGCAAAATTTAGTTTTCATCTCCTCTCATCTCCGTCCTGTTGTATCTCTGCTGTCTTTTCGATAAAATTGCTCGTTTTGTCAAATCATTTGAGACATATCATCGTGCTTACATATAATACAAAAAAAATTATAAAAGATTGATACAATGATATATATGTATAACAAAAATTGTTCGATCTGTACGTACATTCATATCAGGTGCTCGGTACCTGTTTAAATATTAAAATACTGAAATATATTAAACATCAATTCGACGCATTTTTTAGATTAAAAAAGAAAATAAAAACAAAATATTCTGTGATTTTATATATTGTCGTATCGCGTATAGATATATATACATTTTGTATAGAAAGTTTTTTTGATACACATTGATAGTACTAAAATCGAAAATATGGAGCTGCACTTCAATTTCTTGTAGATTCCACATTCTGCACAATGAATGCAGTTAGGTCATACGCTTTGCTTCGTTTACTAAGAAAACTCGCAAACTTCTAATTTAACTTGAACATTCTAAAAAATTGTCAATTACAGCATATCATAGCGCGAAACATATTAAACATGTTATTTATATATTGATATAAATAATATTTGTTTATTAAAAAAGAGATATTGTAAGATTTTTTCGAATGAGTTATATTCCTTCTGTAATTAAATTGCAGAAAAAAATTCTAGATTATTAATATTTATTCTCTATAGGAGAATTACGCAAATAATATTCTATCGAATGAGTTATATATTTCTATAATTGCAGAAATATTTAATTAAATTCTACGTTATTGATATTTATTTTCTATAACAGAATAGCAAATTAATTTTAATCACGAGCCAGGAGTGAAATAATGTATGCCTATTGTAAATAATAAAACGAATAAGTATGATCGTCGTATCATGATCTTTATTTATATCGATAAGTGCTAGACCTTAAGTGCCTTTATTGTATTAATCGAGATACAAACAGCGGTTTTTTTATACATGAAAATACAAAAACTAAGAAAATGCGCTCATTCATCTATCAATTTTTACTGCCCAAATAATGCTGAAAATATTTAATGTTATTACCTTTTTTTATAAATCTTGTAATAAATAATATAATATACATGTTATTATGTATCTTCATTCGTTTCTATTCTATTAGAACCAAACGCGATACACTCCTTTTTGTAAAACTGTAATTTTAACCTTTTGTTTTATATATATTTCGCATTTAAAAATATTTTTCAGCATTTAATAAACAATATTTAACCCTCAATTACAGCAACGTACTTAAAGCGAAAATTTTTGGACGATTGTACAATTTATACAATTGGTACTGAGATTCTAAATTGTAGGTAAAAAAATTTTAAAAACTTCCTCTATCAATCGCCGTGGTTTACTTGCATTGTGTACTTCAAACAGTCTTAGATTTTGTAAACACGTAATTTTTATAGCTATATATTGGAATTAAATATAGGATCAAAATTATTACTTTCTTTTTAATTTCGTATGATAAACTAATGCATCGCTTTAGTAAAAATACACACTTTAGTATGGTTTTCTGATGCTTTTTTTATAAAAGAAGAATGAATAATTTATTACGCTACACACAATGTACCAAAATTGTCATCGGTACTATAAAAGACTAGATATATACTCCTCGATTACAGCGACAAATAAACATATATATATATATTTATATATAATCGAATGTGCAAAATGCTTTTTGCTGTCCAACAAATATTTCTGATTAGTCACATAGGAAAAATGTAAATAAGAACATTTCTGTAATAGTGATGCAAACATAAAAATACAGACAATATACATCTAATAGTGATAATAAATGTGCATTTCGTTACACATGAATTAGTACATAGGATGAAAACTGCGTATACTTAAAATATTATTGTGAGAAATTGGAATGTGAAAATATTTCGTGATGTAAATAACAAAAGAATGCAATAATGACGGATATAAACACGACAATTATAGCGACATAATACAGGTACCTATTTTTACAATATTGCAATAAATATGTTCTATTAATCGTTAAATGTTACTACATTAAGAGCTACTCTAATAATTAGTACTCGGATGATTAGGCAATAACTATGTATCAGATACTACCTAATCATCTGATGCTTGCCAAATATTTAAATAATCGATTTGTTTACAAAACACTGGGAAACTTTTAGCAAAATGCTTTGGTCGTTTTCTTATACGTCTCCGCTTAACTCAAATAATACACACAAATATAAATATGTGAACATAAATATGTGAACACATATACATTAAATTAAACTTACATCTTGAATAGTTTTTTAAAGATGTGTTTTAAAGATGTGTTTGTAATTTAGTAATGCATGATTATACTGACGTATAATGTAAAGTTATGTGAAACAATTAAAATATTAAAATAATTATAGATTAATATTCAATGATTTTCGATATTAATGCAAAAGATCCAAGTTTCTCATATTCCGAATTTATCACTGGAAAAAATTTGATAGAAGATGTGCTCGATATATTTCTGATTAATAGTGTGTGCTGCATATATTCAATTTTTTAGTAATAGTGAAAATTGCACATCTCCATATGATGATAAAATAAATGATTGTATGATTTACATAGTCACTTATATTCTACTACAATATCCTACTATGACGGAATCTGTTAACACAGATTATTATTAAATATATAAATTAAGAAATATATATAATCTTTCTTTAAATATATGTGAAATACATGTAAAACGACCTGCGAGTCTTTTTGATGTTCGTTTTTGATAATTAATGTGCACATAAATTAAAAAAATATTTGAACGTACATTTTAAATTTTTGCTTTAGTGATCTTTTTAACAATGAGATCATTTCTTTCAATGAAAATAATAGAGAGCAAATGTAAATATTATTTTTTTTATAACAGTGTAAATATTATACCAAGGCACTGCAAAATCAGATCGTACTTATGGTTTATTATTTATGAACGCTCTGCGTTATATATGAATTATTCATAAAAATATATCAAATATTTAACATGTGCAAATGTACTGCATTAGTTTTTCTGAATTACTGGCCAAGGAATTCGCACCATTTCATTTTTATAAACAGCAATAATTATTCTATTTCGTCAATCAACTGTAAATAATGAAAATAGTCAAAATACAACGTGCCGTATTTTAAGTATAACGCTGTCAAGATTTTTTATCGCAGACTCAACATCTTTATATCATGAATAATATTAAAGTCGTCGTTCCGCATTATACACATTTAGTATAGAAATAGACTCGTTACGAAGTATGAAAAGTGAACACACATTTAGAGCGATTCTTTCTTCACGTTTTATCTTATAAAACGTATGATTCGTTACGCCATATTCAACATCATTTTCAGATATTTGGTAATCTACTGATTGTCCATTAGAAAGTTAACGATTTAGATACAGTAACTCGTGGACAAGTATATACTTAACTGACAATTCGATCGATGGCATTCGGCCGCATTGTTATTCACACGCCAATTTACTGTCGAAACTACTCAGAGCAATGGCGAAGGCCTGCACTGTACAAAGAGGAAATCGGTAATCCATTGTAAAAACGTCCTCTGCGACACGTCCAAACTGCATTACGACGTAGTCCACTAAAAAAAATTAATTAAAATAAATTCTTTAAAATAAATTACAAAAAAATCCTATAGACATTACATCATATACATTGTATGTAAGGCAAAAAAAATATTCAGCTTCGTCTTACCATCGCTGTCATGGACTACTTGGAAATTCTTTACAGATGCTTGAGTTACTCGCCCATGAAAGTTAAGCACATAAGACTGTGTGTCGTCGTTCCATACGGGAGTTTTGTTATGTAGCTCTATCAGATTATCCATTTGTTTTAATTTCCACCGTTCTAGAAGTATAAACAAGATATAATTGGTTATAAATATTATTAATAAAGTAATATATATTTCATACATATTAGAGTTCTAATGTAAGTACTAATTTAGTTTTATCTGTTGCTGTTACAGTTTCAACTGCACTATATAATTATGTAATTTTTATTAATAATTTTGAGTAATTAAATATTCATATAATTTTAAACTCTAATATGTATGAAATATATATTACTTTAATTTACAAAATAAACAAAATAAACACTTTTGGCACATAATTGTAAAATATATTTTAGCGTTTTATCAACTTATATATTATATTAATATTACAATTATTATTACCAAGCAAAGTTTCTGATTCAACTCGCGGGCATATCTCCACTCGTTTTTGATCGGGCGTCATACCCGGTATAATGACTGTCATTTTACGAGGGCCTTTAAAACCTAAAACGTTTGTATCATACACCACCGCGGCTAATTCCTGTCGTGGATTGAAACGCTCGTCGCGTTTATCGTCCTTCATCAACGAGTATCCGTTGTCGTAAATTGTGAATTGTGTTCCCAGAAGATTCGATCGGAGTTTACCGACATAAGATTCTCCTCCTCTCGAGAGATCTGTAGGATCGGTCGAAATCAAGTAATTGCTCGTTGCGCTTTTTTTCCTTTTTCGGCCAGCCAGTAAGAAAATCTGTAAATGCAATCGACATACTTGTAGAAGACGAACTGTGAAATTAAACGAATACAAACATACTTTTTTCCCGTAATCACGCTCTAGATGCAAGAAATAAGTTGGATAAAGTCCACGGTCCATGCCTTTTCGATCGCGTGTTATTCTACACTTGTAATGCATTTTTTTATTTGCGGGTTGTAATACAAACTGTTCAATATTGCCTTCTACGTTCCCTTCCAATTCTGGACTCTATAAAATAATACCAAGGCAGTAATTATTGTTTAATATTCGTAAATCACAAATAAAATATTTATATAACAAATTATATATAATTATAATATATATGATACTTACGGAAGAATTGTTATCTCTACTAATAAGAGTATTAGCTCCTTCCGACGGAGCCACTCGAAGCGGTGAGGAACATGGCAGAGATTCTGAAGGCGAATGTAGATCTATAGGTGACGATTCCTCATCGGCACAATCAGTGCTTTGAGAACCTTCGTATAAGCTTCTATCGTTGACCACTGCTACAAAAAAAATATAAATATTTAAATATTAGTGTAATTAATTTTAAACAAATAAAATTATATATATAATTATAA